CTACACGACAATGGCGAATGTTTCAGGTCTTCTCTCCACCCCTCTCCCTATAAAAGTCGCACCCCTCACACTCCAGTTCTTCAAACCCCATCTCTCCCCATTCTCTGAATCGGGTCAGATCTCTCTTCTTCCCTTCTCGTTAATTTATGCTTCTATTTCGCTTAAATAAGACCACCATTCTTCTTTTTTTATGAGTTTGAGATCCTCAGTTTGTAGATCATAGGCGTGATAACAGTTCTTTGATTCAAATTTGAATGCTTCGGATTTGAACTGTTTTCTGAACATTTTTAATCACAATGGGTTCATTTTTCGATCTATTTCGATCTTCTTCTTCTTCGGATTTTACTCTTGCTAGGTTTATGCGCCTCATTTAAATTATTTAGATTCGGATCGTGTTGATTGCTTCATTTTCTTGTTTCTTCGCATTAATTTCTTAGATTAGGGATGGATGGTACTACCGGGATTCAATTTGTTAATAGTTTCTGATCAATGATTGGCTCGCATTGATTGATTCAGGATTTGATTTTATAAGAAGATGGAGGACGCCCCCACCCTAAAATCTGTATTTCTTCTGCTATTCTTAACTTGTTGGGTCGCTGCTGCTGGAGCTGAATATCTCAAGTATAAAGATCCGAAGCAGCCTCTGAATGTTAGAATAGATGACCTTTTGAAGAGGATGACACTTACTGAGAAGATTGGGCAAATGGCTCAGATTGAGCGAAAGAATGCGTCATCTGAAGCCATCAAAAACTACTTTATAGGTAAGATAATTGAATCAGAGAGTTTGAAGGGATGATGATTGGGGGTGGAAACAAAATGATTAATGTTATTTTTTTTTCTTTTGATTGATGAAGGTAGTGTATTGAGTGAAGGAGGCAGTGCTCCTGCTCCAAAGGCATCTGCAGGTGTTTGGGTGGATATGGTGAATGAGATACAAAAGGCGGCTCTCTCTACCAGACTTGGTATTCCAGTTATATATGGTATTGATGCAGTTCATGGACACGGCACAGTCTATAAAGCTACCATTTTTCCACATAATATTGGCCTTGGAGCTACCAGGTTAGCAACTATATATCTTACAAACATGCCTCTCAATTCTTATATATCTACACATCTAATACCCAAACTTTGCTTTTTTTTTTTGCATTTATGCTACCCAAACCATTCATATCACATCAAAAATACAACTTTTTAAACTTTTCAATATTGAAAGGCACCTTTTCGATCATGCCTAGGTAAGGTGGTATGTATGTATGTAAAAAAATTGAAGTTTATATGTTAAATATGTAAATATATACAAATTGAGTGGTATATATGCATGAATATCTTCATTTTTTTATGCTCTTGTACTTTTAATTTTTTTCTCAACATTTGACAAACCTTTTTGTTCACGTTATCAAGTTATGACTTAAACCAAATAACCATGACTTTACACCAAAGCAAATATAACACGCATAGGAAAGAGTACTTGGAAAGTAGTGATTTGAACTAAAATTGAAGCTTTTGAGTTAGTATTGGATGGACTGAGTCGCTCTAAATACACTAGTTGCGGATTTGTTTGACATTAAAATGCTGTTTGGGTGCAATTAGGATTTATTAAATTTTATAAATCTCAATTTAGTAAATTATGAGGCTGTTAAATAACAAAAATTATTTTGTTTGATAGCGGTTAAATACGTTTAAATCTTGATGAACTATTTGGCTATTTATTTCAGTATTTAAGTTCGTTAGATCAAAAGGGATTTTAGTGATAATTATTAATGATGAAATTAATCACAAATATTGCTTTTTATCAATTAATTTCAATTATTTATTAATTTGTAAATTATTAAGTTAATCTATCACTATAGTTTTTTTTTTGTGTTCATTAAATCACAAATATTAGCTTTTATTAATTTATTTTTTTATTAATATATTTATATCTAATTTTTTAATTGATTATTAATAATATTGATTAATAATTTTTTAAAACTCTATTAAATTATAGCTAATATAAGATACCATTTTAATTAATTGTATTTCAAATTTTTTACATGTAATAATTTTAATGTAATCAAATTTAATCATAGACATTAATATTTGTTACTTGCTAATAATTTTTTATTAGTTATTTATTTTAAATTAATACCTAACCTTCATTATCTCTCTCCTTGCTCTCATATCAAAATTCTCAAAACTTTTAGTCTGGAATTAGAATAGTCTTGATGATAGAATGATGAGGAAGCTACGACAAGAATCATTGTCTTTTAACCCCCTTTCTTGCTTACCTGAGGCTACCTAGGCGAAAAAGGAATAAGGATGTTGTGATGGGAGCTAGCTTATGAAGAAAAGCCTCAGCTTTCTCCCACCTATTCATGCACTCTGTTCGTTTAAATTTCCCAAACTTGATGAATTATTAGATTAATTAAATTTAGAACTTAGGCCAAAACTTATGATGAATAACACTCTTAATTAAGGAGTCGTGCAGTGTTAAAAATATATCGGATATGAACACAACTCCAACACTAGTCTGGTGCGACATAGAAGTGTCTAACTTAAATAATAATAATAATAATAAGAAAAAAAATAACACGTGTGTTGAACATGCATGTCCTAAATTAGTGAATTAAATAATTTTCTTAAAATATTTGTACGATTAAAATTAAAAAGATTTTTTATATATATAAAATTTAAGGAAGTTTTACATACAACTCAATTTTTATTTATTTACATATTTAACACCTAATTTCAATATTTATGTATCAATCACATTACAATTATATGAAAATGTGTATTTCATGTTTTTAAAACTGAAACTAGTAGTACATTAGATATGATATGAAAGATTTAGGTGTCATAAATGTAAAAGTCAAAATTTAAGTGTTAGGTATGTAAGTACAAAGAGTTCGTTGTCAAAGAAATTGGTGGTCATTCTCTTTCCTTTATGAAAAGTTGATTAAGAATACTTAAATCTTGATGTAAAACAAGTAATATATGATTGCTTTTTGTATGTTATAAACTAAATAATTATCTATGGTCATCATAGTTTTTGAAAGTTAATATGATTAAATTTTCTATTTCTCTTTTGTATTATTTTTAATATTTTGTTTATTTAATATATATATATATATATATATAATTTTTATCATAATGACGTGTCTGATGTGTATCTGTATCTTATACTTTTAATAATAAATGTGTCCCATCTTTGTCCCCTATGTTCGTATTTGGGCAACATAGGCCAAAATGGAGGTACAATAATTTTTAAAAACCTATTAAATTTATTTTGGCACTTTCCAGGTAGAATTTACTGCAAATTCTGCTTAAAGCAAACTATCAAATAATCCACATTTGGCAGAAAATAAAATTTAACTCAAATAGAATTCAAGAAATATCATAAATTCAAATTTAATGAATTTTAAAAACTTTTTTTCATGATATAGGTTAAATCTATTTAAATTATGAACTGTTTGTCTATTTGTTTTAAATTATAAGTCTATTAGTTCAAGTATTAATTCTTAGTAATACGATTATTAAGGTTAATTTGATTTAATTTACTTCTAGTATATCGAATTTCAATAATTATTAGTTACTATTTCACTAAATTAATTTATTATTAATTAATTTAATTAAAATAAATAACCGTTGGTTAGTTTTTTATTATTGATTAATTAGCATAAGTTAATATATCAATCAATCATTAATTAATAATTAACTAAGCTAATCAAATAGCTTCTACTTAGTCAATTTACATAAAATTAATATTAATTTAATCAAGTTAATTTCTATTTAGCCTATATCAATTGTAAATAAATTAATTAAATTATGATTAGTACAAGATAATTTATCAATTACATTAATTGAAAAATAGCTTATATTTAGTAAAATTAATAAAATAATTCTGATAGCTAATGCTAATTAGTAAGGTTAATTAAGTTTAAACTTTATATATCAATGTCTAATATTATTTATTTAATATTAATAGTTTTTATTAAAAAAAATTTATCAATTTTAATTATACTGATTAAATTATCGTAATATAAAATAATATGTTTATCAATCATTATTTAATAAATTCTAAAAATTAATTAAAAATAAAAATTTTTACCTAACCAAATTAAATATCAAATAATATGAATTTAGTTAAGTTAATATTTTTAAATAATTAATATTTATTATAAAAGCAAATAATGATACTAATGTCACACATCTAATTCCTCGTCTTTTGCCGCCTTTCTCTCTTGCCCAAAACCTTCCCCAACAAAGAACTAAGAAGTTATGATTGAGATTTTTGGAAATGTTCTCTCCTCTAAGGGCAACAATTTGAACTCATCTTCTAAATCTTGCTAGTCATTTTATTTATTTTGTTCCTTTTATTTTTTACCACATTTACGATACAAGCCTTCACTTGCAAGTATTTCCAACATATGGTTTTTGTACTTTGTGTGTGTTTTATGAATTCTTTTCCATTTATTCATATTGTGTGATGTGTGCATTCTTTGGCAAGATTTGTTTCTATATTATGTTTTTTATGGCATTTTTTCTTTTTTTTTTACTATATGTGACATCTACCCTTCTGTTATCCATGAGTTCATAACCAATTCAACTTATTCTATTTTTTGTGGTTTTATTTTTCAATAGGTGCTACTCTTGCCTTCTCTCTAATATGGCTATTTCTTGCTTGTAAATTTTAATTTATCCCATATATGACAAATTCATTTTAGTTGTGAGTGACTTATGTATTGTTATAGATTGCTCAATTCCGGATCCATGTTGCCCAAATAACTTGATTGCAATTCCATGAAAGTGTTTTTTTTTTATAAATTATGCTTATTATTATATTCTACTTCTCAAGGAATTCTACATCTACTCACCCACATTCAAGATAATAATTGATTTTACTCATCTATATGACCATATCTTAGTAACACAACTTGTCATACTCATTGATAATTTGATTTTCCAATTCCATTTACTGATAATTAGCCATTTTAAGTCTACCAAAAGCATACACCATATAATGAAACTAATGTCATACTTCAAATGGTTGGTCTTTATTTGTAGGGATCCAGTTCTCGTAAAAAAAATTGGCGCTGCAACGGCTCTTGAAGTTAGAGCAACAGGCATTCCTTACACCTTCGCTCCATGCGTTGCGGTACCTACAACGCAATGAAAATCTTAATTTTTCATAAGACTCTATGCATTACCTCTATTGGCCGTTAATTATTAACCTATTTTATTTGCTCTATTTTTTTTAAACTTGTTCAGGTATGCAGAGATCCTAGATGGGGTCGTTGTTATGAAAGCTACAGTGAAGATCCAAAGGTTGTTCAAGAAATGACTGAGATTATCCCAGGTTTACAAGGAGAGGTTCCAGCAAATTCTCCCAAAGGAGTTCCTTTTGTAGCTGGCAAGTAAGAGTCTCCACTGTCTTGCTCGTGCTAGTTTGTTTTCTAGAGCATAAAGTACTTAATGAAGTATTTTGCTAAAGTAATATTACATATATTTATTCATAAATACACCAATGATTATATAAAAGGAAATTTACAGACATGCCGCACCTAAAGTTTGATAATTACATTTATAACACTAGTGGCATGAATCTATGCATAAAAAGGTGTACTTCATTTTTAAAAAGTTAGTATTAGTGGTATTTTTGATGTGGTATTAAATATTAGAGTGTTATGTATATAAATATGAAAGTTTACATGTTAGACATGTAAATACATTAGAAGTGTTTGTTATGTATGTAAATGCCCCTTATATAAATTTCATGCATCTCACTACTTCAATTTAATGAAATATAGGAAAAATGTTGCTGCTTGTGTTAAGCATTATGTTGGTGATGGTGGAACTCACATGGGCATTAATGAGAATAACACAATCATCAATTTCCATGGGCTTCTTAGCATCCACATGCCTCCTTATTACAATGCTATTATCAAAGGTGTCTCTAGTGTGATGGTTTCTTATTCAAGTTGGAATGGGGTGAAAATGCATTCAAACCATTACTTGTTGACTGATTTCCTCAAAAACAAGCTCCGTTTCAGGGTTAGTGTGTGGGTCAATATTTGAGCTTCTTTGCAATGAATTTATTATGAATTTGAGAAAAGTGTCAAAAGCATCTCCTGGCTCTTTGCAGCCGGTCATTTTAGTCTCACAGTCTATGAAAGTGCCAATTTAATTCCTAGACATTTTTATTGTGGGCTGAAAGTCTCCACAAAAGACTATTTTAGCCACAGTTTAAGGAGTTAGGGGACTAAGTTAACACTTTTACAGACTCTAGGACTAAAATAATCCCATATAAACAGTTAGGGAGTTTTTTGACATTTCAATCTTATGAATTTAGATGATAAAATAATGTGTCTATATATATGAACAGGGTTTTATAATTTCCGATTATGAAGGCGTTGATAGGATTACGACGCCTCCTGGTAAAAATTATACATTCTCTCTCCAGTCTGGGATTCTTGCAGGCATTGATATGGTAATCATATTTTCCCAATCAAAATTATATTTTTTACCTCATAAGTTACCTAAACCTGTTACACTACCAGAGTTCCCTTTTAGAGTACTGTATCAACTACATGATAATCCTTTCTGTTACTTCAACTAATTTTTCTTTGTTAATGTTCCAGATAATGATTCCCTATGACTATCCTCGTTACTTCGATAGCTTCCTTGAACTTGTCCATAAAAATGTAATTCCCATTAGCCGGATTGATGACGCTGTTAGGAGGATTCTTCGGGTAAAGTTCGCCATGGGTCTCTTCGAGAACCCCTTCGGAGATTATAGCTTGGCTGATGAGATTGGAAAGCAGGTTTGGCAATTTCTTCATTTTGTTAAATATGATGATAGTGATTCAAATACTCTGTAAACATTAAGAGTTTGTTTGAGACCAATTTTATTTTTTATTTTATTTTTAAAAGTATATCTGTTTAGTGTGTTTTTTTAATAGCACACACTTCTTATATATTTACATATCTCACGTCTAAGCTTTTATATTTAAACACATATCACTCAAATCTTTAATATCACATCAAAAACAACATTGTTCTCACTTTTTAGAAGTGAAATACAACTTTTCATGCGTAGATTTAAAGCGCTAAAGTGTTATATGTGTCTATATGAAAGTTTAGTTGTGAGATATGTATAGAACACTCCAAACAACTTAGTGTTTTTAAAACAATTATATCTTAACTAAATATGTGAAACATGTCTTATTTCAAATTAAAACATAACAAAACCAAATAAAAACAAAATAAATAAATTTGATCGCAAATGACTCCAAGTGTTTGTACTTTAGAAAAAAAAATATTTTAGTTGGCCTAAGATATTAACCTTCTAACAGGAGCATAGGGATCTAGCCAGAGAAGCTGTGAGGAAATCACTGGTTCTGCTGAAAAATGGTAAAAGTTATGGGGAGCCAATCATACCACTCTCTAAGAAGGCCAAGAAAATACTTGTAGCTGGTAGCAATGCTGATAACTTGGGCTATCAGTGCGGAGGCTGGACGATTGAGTGGCAAGGACTTAGTGGGAACAACCTTACAATCGGTGAATTCTTTTTATCTCCCTCCAAATTATAATATTTGATATGATTCACATTTTTCATTAGGGGCATTTACGTACATACCGCCCAATTTTTATGTATTTACATATCTAACTCCCAAACTACCCTTTACTTTTATAACAACCAAAATTCTTTATATCACATAAATAATACCACCATTTGAACTTTTAAAAAGTGAAATACACCTTCTTATGCATAGGCAAAGTGACATAAATATAAGAACTGAAGTTTAGGTGTTAGATATGTAAATACATAAGAATTAAGCGGTATGCATGTGAGTCTTCCTTTTCATTATCAGATTGGAGTACACTGAAAATTATAAAGGGGCATTTACATAGCCATCCAATTCTTATGTATTTACATATCTAACACTTTAAGTTTGCTTTTTTGCATTTGTATCACCCAAATCTTTCATATCATATATCACTCTTTTAACCAAAAAAAAAAAAAAAAAAAAAATACACCTTTTTATGCATAAATTACATGGTTTATAAGTGTAAATATGTAAATGCATAGGAATTAAGTTATATTTATGTAAATCTTCCTCTTCATTATGCAATGAACAAGAGACACATTATGAAACATTGCTGGATTTCATTAATCTTTTTTCTCCATTGAAACAGGAACCACATTGCTTGACGCCGTAAAAGCGACGGTTGAACCCGGCACAGAAGTTGTCTATTCGGAGAACCCTGATGCGGATTTTGTCCGAAGCAACGAATTCTCTTATGCCATTGTTGCTGTTGGCGAGCATAATTACGCAGAGACTTTTGGCGACAGCTTGAACCTCACCATCGCCGAGCCCGGACCACATACAATCAAGAATGTGTGTGAGCATGTCAAGTGTGTGGTGGTTTTAATATCTGGCAGGCCTGTTGTCATTGAGCCATACATCCATATCATCGATGCGCTCGTGGCGGCCTGGCTGCCTGGCACGGAAGGCCGTGGGATGACCGACGTGCTATTTGGGGACTATGGATTCACCGGAACTCTTCCAAGGACGTGGTTCAGGTCTGTTGACCAGCTACCAATGAACGTTGGTGATGCTCATTATGATCCTTTGTATCCATTCGGTTTTGGGCTAACAACTGAGGCTGTGAAGGTAGGCTATTGAGGTTTGTTTCTTTATGGGAGAGAGATGGGATTGAGACAAATTTTTATGTTTGGTAGTTGTGATGAATAAGGGATTTTGGGTTGGCCCTCCTTTAAAAAAAAAAAAAGAAATAAGGGCTGGTGTTAACTTATTTTTGGAATAGGTTTACATATAGGGGGTGTTTCTTTGTCAACTTTTTCATGAAAGTTTGAATCAAAGAGAAATAATATGCTTTATAAGTTCTTATATTGTTTTTATGATTAAGAGTAGGGTTTCAAACGCTCATTCGTAATTTTCATGAAAGTTTGAATCAAAGAGTAATAATTGGAAGAATAATATGCTTTATAAGTTCTTATATTGTTTTTATGATTAAGAGTAGGGTTTGAAACAGTCATTCGTAATTAATATTGCTTAAAATTGGCCCGTATTCAAAATTGCCCGTTAACAATGTGTTTGTGTTCGAGCTCGATTTATATGTTATTGTTTGTGTTTAGCTTATATTCGGCTTGAAATTAGCTCCTTTAAATGAAAATTGGACACTATGGAGAAGAATGATTTATTTAGCCGACCCCACTTAGTGGGATAAAGGCTTATTGTTGTTGTTACTGTAGTGTTGGATTCAAACTGGACTATTTCCATGTAATAAAAGACACAAATTCACGCGACCACATGAGATGTGGTGATTTAAATTTGGATATAAATATATATAATATATTATTATATAAATAATATATATAATTTTCTCATTTCGAGTTAAAATAAGCCAAACACGATCGAACAAGTGATGTTCTTGTTCAAATCGTTCGATAATGTTCGGTTTGTTTATACTTCAACAACAACAAACAAGTTTTATCTCACTTAGTGAGGTTGACTACATAATCATTTATCTTTGATTGTCATATTTTCATTTAATTTCAATAAATTAAGATCATTTTTTATACAACATGCCTAAATCTTTTTAGGTCTACCTCTACCTTTATTAACATAAGTTGAATCTAAAACATCTATTCTTCTAACAAGATCATCAAAGGTGACTCTAATCTTGTCTGCCATTGGAACAGCACCAACCCTTTCACGGAGATTTGTTTTGCATTGTCTTTAGGAGTAAAATCACTTATCCATCTAAGTATTCTCATCTTCGCAACATTTACTTTAGTTTTATGTTTCTCTTTTATAGACCATCATTCTACATCATAAAGCATTTGCATGTCTCACCATCATTTTATAAAATTTTCTTTCAAGCCTAAGTAGCACTTTTTTATCACACCACAGGCCTAATGCATTCCTCCACATCAACCATCCAACTTGGATTGTACTAATGGCATCCCCATCTATATCACCATCATTTTGAACAATAGGCCTAATATGTCTAAGACGGTCTCTCTTTTTAACAATTTGATCACAGATTTTTACAACTTCGCCATTAGTATACCACTACTAAAATTGCATTCCATATATTTAATTTTAGATCCACACAAATGAAGGACTTTAGACTCTTAAAGTTAACCTCCATCATTCAAGTTTTTAAAACTCTTTCTCTAGTCTTATCCACAAGAAGAATATCATTAGCGAAAAACATACACCAAGGTACATCCTCCTGTAAATTTCTGGTAAGAGCATCCATAACTAAAGAAGAAAAAAAGATATGGACTTAAAGCCGACATCTGATGTAATCCAGCTTAAATAAGAAAATAATTGGTCATTCAAGCTTAAAAATTTTGGTTATGTTCTACTCAGTCACTTAATGAATGATTCAAACATGAGCTACTTTAACAAGCCAAACATGAGTTATTCAAAAACAAAGAGCATTTTTTACAATCCTGGTTAAGAGCTAACATATTTGATATTCTTTATGAATATCCAAATGTTGTGTATTTTATAAATGGTTTTTTTTCTTTCTTTTTTTTTTTGGGAGTAATTCTACAATTACCAACTTGTAACCCAAAAAAAAGTTGGTAACTTATGTGGTGACATCCTAAAATGTCATAATCATTATTAACATTGATATTAATGGTTATTATTAGCATGAAATGATAGTTTTTGTTAATATGTTGGCATTTTATAAACATGCAAACAAGAAGTGAAGTCTTATTTTGTGCCATGGATTGGGCAATGTAGTGTAGCATCTTGATATGAATGGCAGCAATTCAAGGAATTTGTTGGCAACTCCATGATAAATTAAAGGGAGAATAATAATGTTTGAGAATTAAAAATAAAGAAGAATGAAAGCTTGGAGGAGAAGGAGCTTGTTGTATTTTTCTATAAAACTTAGAAAAACAAGATTTTTCCAATATATCCTACCTTTATCATGATTATTAAATTGCTTCTTTCATCACAATGTGCCAAGTGGCAAGAATCTGCATAAAGGTTAACTATCCTCTTTAAACAATTGTATGATTGCATCTATATTGTCGTGCTCATAAAAATAGAAAACACGCGCTTTGTTTATTAACTAGGCTACACCTATCAACGTCCCTCTTCTGCGTAGTAGTCCTAAAATTGAGCGAGGAGTCGATGCTCAAGTCAATTGTGGGTGAGGGAGTTGTGCAACAAAGTTTGTCCACTTGCTTCATATGTTGTTGAGCTTGCTGTAGATTTTCACATAGGTTATAAAGTAAATAATTGTGTTGTTTGACATCTGTAATTGCTCTCAATGGTGGATTGTTATCATTGTATGATTCAAATTGTTGAACTTAGAATAGTGTCATGCTTATTAATGAGTGAATAGAAGTATTATAGAAAAATTTTTCCTATGACATGATTTATGCTTAATGGTTGGGGTTAAGCATAACATAGTAGAGAAGATATTATTCAAAATTTTGTGAACACTTGAACAAACTTTTTGCATTATAAAGTTGAGCCTGTTGAATATTGATGGATTTGTGAGAAATTACTTCAAGGTTGAAAAGCTTATTTTGTGTGGTCTAAACATCAAAAATTATTCTCTTATAACATGGAGGTAAGAGGAGCTCTAATAACAGGGATGTTTTATTTTGTTACATATGCTTGATGATAGTCGATGCAAAGATCATATTTGAGGAGAATAGTGGATCTTTGTTGTGAATTAAATATTTTATTGATTATTAAAATTGAAAATCTATGTGGGTGTTGCTATGATTTAGAGCATAGTAATCAACATAAAAATGTCACGTCCATTTTTCTACTTCACAGGTATGACTAGAGCCAAATATTGGCAAGTGATCTAATGAATTAAATTAAACAATACCAACTACATTTGGATTGGCTTTTGAGAAAAACCAACTTAACATTAGATACTTATGTATTGAGTTGTTTAAACTAAACTCAATAATGCTTTATGCAAAGCAAAATATGTGATGTTTTTCAAGTTTAATTCTATACTTTATTGCATGATTACAATGATTTTATGCTTATAAAGTGTGTTTTTTGTTGTGCTTTATGCAAAGCATGTGTTGAACCTGCTTCAGGAAGCTAAAGAAGGAGAAATGACTAAGGGACTAGCGTCGCACCTATGCCCCCCTCTCAGTCATGGATAATGTTTAGAGCTATTAGCCAAGACATCCTCATGCTAGGAGCAGTGCATATGTACACATCCATGACAATCTGTGGTGCATCTACATAACAAACCAAAGAGGATGGCACACCCACACCGTCATACAGAAAATCAAATTTGGAATGTATGAATGCAGATTTTGGAGCCTTAGCAAAAATATGACAATCTTAGATGTGAAGAAACACTCTTGAGCTATTGTAGGCTGCTTCTACTTGTATTTAGAGAGACTTGCGTTGTGCCTTGGGGTTTTTCCTTAGCTTCTCTTGGGAGAGAGCTTCTAGGTTTTTTCTTTTGAGCGTTTTGGAGAGTCGGAGAGGGAGAGTCTTGAGTGCTTGTAAGTAGGAAATTGACGGAGAGAATTCATTATAATGAGAGGATCACAATGTACTTCGAGGTGATATCAACTAAAGTTTGAGTTTTTGTACGTGTTTGCATTATTTATTTTCCTAAATTTAATGAAAAGTTGGTGTTTTCTTCTATCATGAGTAGTAGTTAAGTTCTATTTAGACTCATGTGATTAAAGCATACGATGAATCAAATGTATTATCCATGTGTTTTCCCTATACAATTTTGTGCTTTTTTGTTTGATTTAAGTTGGTGTGTTAACCTTCTACTCTTCGTTTAATTCTAATATGGTCTATTAGAAAATTAAAATCCCTTATAATCTAGGACTTTAGGTTGTTGACTAAAGAACAAGTAAGTTAACACACAACTGCCTGGTGGAATAGACATATTGCTAGTTAAAGATTGCAACCTATATTGGGGACTAGAGGATTTTCTAGAAAATGTTGCATGGTTAAGCCCCCTTTATAATACTTCTTATTACCAAAACATAAGCCAATGAGGACTTTTCACTTATTATTAACAGTAACATGGGGATCTCACAGGAAAACTTGAAGGATTTGCATAATCCAAATTACGTGAGTATGATTTTTATCTCATCTAAAAAGCTTCAAATCCTAATTTTATCTTTTGTATTTTAATATTTTAGAAACTTTTCACTTTTTGTAAATTTAAAACACTTCACTATAGACTTAGAGGTTAATAAATTAAAACTTCATCAGTTAAGAAAATTGACTAGTTTCTTTATAGGATAGACACGTGAACTAACTCTAACTTTACATATTAGTTGAGCAACATGTCACTTAATTGTTAATTATTTCACAGTAGTTTCGAGTATCAAGTTTTACAAAAGTGTTGTGAATAAATTGACAATCACACAAGTTTATATATGTGCTCAAGTAATATGTAGAATTAGAATCTGTGTGTCGAACCTACGATAAAATTAGTCATTTTTTCTAACCGACTAAGTTCTAGCTTACTAATCTCTAAGTGTAGTTTGAAGTGTTTTATATTTGTAGAGGGTGAAAAGTTTCTTAAATCCTAAAAGATGGAAAATAAATTAAGTTTCGGAGTTTTTAAGAGGTGATGAAAATCATACTTCTATGACTCAGACTATAGTGGTAAACCTTTGTTCAGCTTGACCTCCAATAATATAAGTCAAATTAGATTCACATAAGTCAAAATAGATGTCATGAAGAGCTATTGATTGCTGTCGAATGTGCTTCGATTCTAACATGA